GTCTGAGAGACACTGCCACTCTGAGAGGCTCTTTTTATACCCAATCATGTTGCCAATTGACCTGATAAGATGCAAATTGGTCCTCCAGCTGTTCCTTATATGTACATTTAACTTTTCCGGCCTCTTATTGCTGCCTGTCCCAACATTTTTGGAATGTGTAGCTCCCATGAAATTCAAAATGAGCCAATATTTGGCATGACATTTCAAAATATCTCACTTTCAACATCTGATATGTTATCTATATTCTATTCTGAATAAAATACTGGAATTTCAACCTTCCACATCGTTGCATTCTCTTTTTATTCACATTTTCTACAGTGTCCCAACTTTTTTGGAATCGGGTTTGTAATTCTCAGCTCATAAACTCAAGCACTGCTTTGCTGAGCTCAGTCAGGTAACTGAACACATCAAATGACCACTGCAACAAATATTTATAACTGCACTGAGCAAAACATATTAGTGCTGAATTCCAGAAAGTTACAACAGAGACCTTCTGAGCCAGAACCATCTGTGTAACTGTCTAAGTCTCAACGCAATGTATTGCGTTAATTCCCAGAACAAAAACCCTAATTTGCACAGTTTGTCATCCAGCCTGTGCACAGTCAAGCCCCTGAACAAATAAAAAGCAGTTAACAGCTTCTAGTTTGAAAATGTAGTGACTCACACTTACTTGTGCGAAGGCAGCATTATTAAAAGTGGACGGTTTTCATATTTGATGACATGCCGAGATTAGTGTTTGTACAGATATGTGTGTGTATGTGTATCTGCGTATTTCTGTGTGTACTGGCACTTGATAAAGTGTGTGATTGATGGCAGCTGAGCGTATAATATACTGTAAAACTCACTTCTGTATTCTGACTGGCTGATTGATCATCAGCTCCAGCACCATTAAGCTCTATCAGAGAGTGTAGGTTATTGTAATGTGTTGTACAGGGGAGAACATGTTTCAGTAATGTAGCATGCGTGACAGAGTGCAATGTAAGTACAGTGTGTACATGAGGAACACTGTACTCATAAAGGGAAGGGAATATTTAAAGGGAAAAATGCATCTCAAAATATATAATGTTATTTCTATAATCTCTGTACAGTGATGAAAATAGATGTAGCGATGATTAAATGCACTGAACTGGAGCTGCTTCTTGTACATTATTAGATTTACATCAAAATGTTGCATGCACTTTAAGTGAACTTCTAAAAAGTGAACTAACAAAAAATGCAAACCAGTGTTCAACAAGATTACATAATCAAAGGAGTTCCATTATAAGAGGTGGAATGTAACTAAGTACATGTACTCCAGTACTGTACTTAAGTACAATTTTGAGGTGTCTGCATTTCAATGAGTATTTCTATTTTCTACTATTTCATGCTTCCACTTCACTGCATTTTAGAAAAAATAATGTACTTTTTATGGCATTACAGTTATTTGATTACTTTAGTTATCATATTAATGAAGTAAAATACAGTGTAGTCCTAAGACCTTTTTGCACCTTGGTTTGAAATACACAAGCTATCCAGTATTATAAAATTTGAAGTTCTTTATAAGTATAAGGTGGTTAAAATAAGCTCTACTTTTACCAGCTGCAACATTAAATGTTATATACATCATTAATTTATAGCCCAATAATATCACATACATTGTGAACTGTGCCATTCTACATAATGATTACTTTTACTTTTAGTACATTTATAGTTTGATGCTAATACTTTTTGAGCTTAAGCAATGTTTTGAATGCAGGACATTTACTTTTAACAGAATTCTTTCACTGTGTTGTTGATACTTTTACTTAAGTAATTTATCTGTGCACTTTTTTTTCCACCATTGCCCAGTATCTCTTTCACAGAATGCGTATATCATGGCATTTCAGGTTCCTACCTACTGTAGCATATTTACTTTGCAGAATTTGTGTCCACAATGTTTGTAACAATGGACATCAGCAGAAACCTGCTAAGAATACAAAAAATATAAAGTGGCAGTTCATCCAAATCACACAGAGGTGGTATCTAACCATACAGACAGTTTTGGTTTTCAAAAGTAAGCTTCAGTGACACAATTTTTTCAGGGTGGAAAATAAAAGAAATACTAAATTAAAAAACTGCACTGAGCTGCAGAAACATGGAGACATCTCTATCCCAAAGCTCTTATTCCTGTTCTGAGGATTGAGGGAGGAGCCAATATGTACCAGAGCATCCTTCACAGAATGAGATACGCCCCTTTATTAGAAAGTTAGTTGGTGATTAGAAAGTTCAGAAGTCTGTATAAACATGTTTCCTCATTTGCTCTCTCCTTGCATTTTCTCCTAACAGCTTTACCTCAATTGTTACGTGGGCAGGACTAAGACACAAGGAAAAGATGTAAGTGAGGGAAACATTGATACAATTAAAGAAAATGGGATATACTCGTAGTCTAATCCAGACATGAAGTCAGGGCATCGGGAGCTTTTGTTTCCATGATGACATTTCATTACTTTATTTTCTTTTATAGTTTGGTATATAATTTCAGTGAAATGAACCTGTAAAAAAGTGGAGGTAATGTCATCATTTATTTGCAAATGTGTTTCCACCAGCCTTCATCACATCCTCTCTGTGTTGATGCAGCAACAAAGGGGAGGGAAAGATAATTGAAGAGAAATGGTGAGTCATGCCATTTGACAACACGATGGGGATGAATAGAGCAGGAGTGTACTACACTGTAAGCAGGTGGTACATTAGCTAATTGAAAATAAATCTGATGAATTGAGTGAGTAAAATCAATGAAATGACTTTAATGATTAAATAATTAATCTACATCATGTCTATATACAAACACACCTGCAGCATCTTGAGAAGTACTATTTATTTTTAGCACAAGTTTGGTGCTGATTATATAACATTTTACCAGTCACCAGTATACTGTACAGCATCTTGTTCTACAACCAAGTCTGCATCCCAGGATTCCTAGGTACATATATGACAGACTCGGCTGAATCTAGGTTGGTGGCAGACATCAGCAGGCCATCAAGCAGTTTAGAACTTAGCTGAAAGGAAACAGAAGTGTAGGAGGAGAGAAGGAGGTGGAGGATTTGAAAAGAGGAAAGTATTAGGAGGAATAGAAAAAACCCTGCAGGTGATGTGTGAGAGATGTGTGGAAGACATAGGAAGTGGTGGGTGTAAAGGACGACAGAGAGGGGAGGGTCATGTATTGTTAATAAGAAATTCTTCACCAATCAGATCCTGTTTCACCAACCAACAGACAAAGCATCCTTGATGGACGGATAGATGGGATGAGAGGGCTCTCCCTGTGAAACCATTCAGTTTTGACCCCAGAAGCCAATGCTTTGAGTGTAATTCTACTTTTTCCTTACAGAGAAAGCAATAACTTTCTAACAGTATCAGAGGAAACAAGGTGAGCTGATGGCAAACATGGAGTCTAACTACTGTACAAGTGCCATAGGTGGGGTTTCATTTCAAAATGTCATATTTCCATTTCAGGAACATGAGATTATCTACTGTAAACTGTTCAGATGTATTTCAGATATCAGATCTCAAAATATTGTAGGGAAGGCAATAACTTTATCTGCAATAATGGCATTATGGGCTTTATTTTGGTGCCACCAATAAATCTGTAGGAGCAGAAATTTTTAGAATGTCTCATTTTGAAACTAGACTCCTCATAAACTGGAATACCTTCTATTTTATACAGAGTGGGTGGTGTTTTATTTCTTGTTAAAAAGATAATATGTTCTTTTATGTCTGGTCTTGGGTTTCTAATAGCTCCAAAGGAACAGAGTTTGGGTTAAAGGATAAGGCCAGTCATTTTTCATATTAACAGTATTTTCCACAGTCCCCATACAGAGATTAAAACAATCAGTTATTTGCCTCTACTCACTGTTAATGTCTGTCAGTTTCCAACCTGGATTAGTTTATTTGTCTGTTCCATAGATCTCCACTGGCTTACATTTTGTAATTATGAAATACAAAAACTCCAAGTGGCTATAAGTTTTTATAGCATCTGAAGTAAGAGAGATGCAACTGTGCATGTACAAGATCTCAGTGAAAGCATGAGGAACTAGTTAACTGTAAACTAAGGAGAGAGCTCACACAAAGTCGGTCTGGACACAAGCTGTGGACTCATGTTAGCGAGTGGAAATCCACTTTGTGGGCTGTGCAATATTGCATTAGATGCTTCTTCGGGCTATGAATGTGGAAATATATTCTGAGAATAAAGTCAGAATATTCTTACAAATACAGTTTATAAACTTTATTCTTGGAAGGTTTCAACTTTAATCTCAATGTTATTTATTTATTTTTAGCACAGCGTTACTTGTTGTGGTTTAAAAAATGCGATTACATTAGCATATTACCTTGACAGCGACCAGTATCTTCTCCTGGTCAGGTGAGAGGTTGTAACACTCAGCCAAGAAGACTTTTCCAAAGGCTCCCTCTCCCAGCTCCCTCTTCAGAACAATGTTGTGTCTCTTAATATGCTGGACAACTGTTAAAAGAGGAGAGACGGCGAAAGAAAACCAAAAATTAATTTTGGCTGTTTTGGTTTCGAAGCACTGCAAAGATTACATGTGGCCACAAGAACATTCATTTAAAGTATAAGAATGCTACAAGTTACACATCTGATATTTAAGATGTCATGACATTAAGTAGAATTCCTTTAAACTTTGTTGATATGTCTTTTAGTGCAAATCATGTGTTTACCAAAATAAGACATAACAGCAACACAAGTAATGATTTAACAACAACAACAAAACATGTTATATTTTGAACAAGTGTGTACTGTAACAGTAGGATGTGTTAATTCTTTAATCTTTAATCATTTTATATTATCTTTTATTTACGGTAGAATAAATAAATAATACAGTAAATAGGCAAATTTAGAATGCTGTTCTATACTAATTTGATACAGTTTTTACTCTAATGTAAAAAAAGGCGTCTTTCTCTTTCATGTACATAATCTCTTCCTATTTTCTGCTCACCCACAGTTGGATCAGACTCAACAAACCTGCTCGCTGAATAACTCATGACTCCATGCCAGCTGATTTATAGTAAATTTGGTATTTTGCCATGGTGATAATAAGGGTTTTATTCTACAAAATGATTAACAGCATGCTGCCCTTCTTATAATCTAGCTAGGTCTTGTATTTTTGACTGTGGGCCTGATGTGCTTTCATGCACAGGAACACATTGTGTGCTGCCCTCATTTGAGTACTTCTTACATATATACACAGACTGGACACCAAGAGCAGAGATTTATCTGTGATGTGATTAAGAGACACGTTTGAAGAAAAGCTGTCCACTCAGAATATCGCATTAAAGCCCAGCTAGACTCTCAGAAGCTGCATCGATCTACACTCTAAGCTACTGGGGTCCACCATAACCCAATACTGTATAGCCAGACAGAAGGAGAACAGAGAGATAAGAAACAACACTGGTCTATATCAGTTATTTAAAAGCAACTAATTCTCATTGTAAGATTGTGATGAGGAGAATACACTCAATGTGCAATATCTGCTTGTGTGCATCTATATGCATACTGCTGTCAGCCTTGCACATATAAAGTATAGAGTACGTCAACAGCAACACATCCTCTAAAACAACTATACAGTTGAATCAACACCTTAACACACATCACCTTGATTGCAGGGCTGTTGTATTAGATTCCATTAGTTTTAGTTAGGTGTACCTAATAAACTGCCAACAATAGTGTATGTCTAGTGGTGGTCATGGTGGACAGTGAGTATTACAAGGAGCAGGATTTTGACATCGGATTTGCGTTCATGTGGACGACAAAACAATCGATACAGGATATTCCCGAGACTGTCCTACTATAAAATATGACATCGTTTGAACCAGCAGGTTGTTATGAAAACTATTATAATTGTTGCATGTTATAGTTAATAGTTGTAAAGTGGTTTATAGATGCTATGCTGTAGTTTGGCGACATCTAGTGACCAAATTAATTACGGCATGAGTAAAGTAGTAAGCACAAAGTCCACATCAGGTTGAGGTTGGCTAGGAACACAAAACGTAGGACTTCTCCTCAGGGACGTTGACTTCCTTTAAATTGTGTGGCTTGTTTTTCAAGCGTTTTTGTGCCTAAACCTAGCCAAGTATTTTATTTTCCTTCACCTAACAGTTTTTGTTTTCCCTAAATCTAACAAAGTACTTTGTGTGGCAAACATAATTGTAATATCACATTTATGACAGTTTCCAATACAACAGAGTTCCAGTATCTTGCTGCTAGCTAGCCTCCATGTTTATGGCTGGGCAAAAGTCTGTTTAAACAAAAAAAATCCATAAAGCTTGGGAATGCAAAGTACATTGATGTTAATGTTCGAGGGACTGCTGTAATTCCTCCCGCTAGGAGCGCTGTTTAATGAAATAAAGAGATGAACGTCCATAAGGATCGTACAATTGGAGGCCTTGTTGACATTTCCATAAAAACATGAGGCTATGAGCACGTATTAATGAGTGAACTATGTATAATAATTGAACTGGAGATTTAACATATGGTTCGTATGTGTGAAGGTGTGTTGTATGGGTGTAATAATAATAATAGCTTGTTGTATTTTTAAGGATTTGTGAAGATGTACGTGACCTCCATCCCCTGTGTCTGGTTTCAATTGAAACAAATTAAAAAGGGATTCCAGATGTTATTAAAACCTGATATGCTGCTTTTGTGGGTGGATGTTATTTTCTGTAATGTGATGTATTCTGTGGGAAGGTTGATCCAGTGATTTTATAGTTTAGAAGAATTGTTTTTTCAGTGATATTTAGATAAGGAGTGGATATCTATATTTATTGGGAGATTTTCAACTTGTGTGATTTTACCAAGTAAACAGAATGGCGGGGATAGAGGGATTTTACACAGAGTTTCTCTGTCACTGCTATCCAAAGTACTCATCAGTGCTCTGATCAGGTGTGCACTGTGAACAGGTGTCTGCATCAGTTGAACCCATTTAAACAGTTAAAACAGTTAAACATTTTACCTTGTGAGTCCTGTAAATATTTTTGTATCATATAAGTTGTACATTTGTGCTGCTGGTCATAGAAAAGATATTATTACAGATTTCCAATCAAGCTTTAGTTGCAATATATTGTAGGGAAGACAAAAAAAATATGTTGCCAACAAAACAATTTGTAGATATCTTCATTATTTTAAGATTTGCTGTGACAAATTAATAGTGCAGTATATATAAACATAATGTCTCCAGGCTATAAGTTGAATATGGTAAGTGGAGGTTTCAGTGTCTTCAAGTAGCAGGTCACCAATCCTCTACAATTCCCTGTGCAGCAGCAGCAGCAGCACAATAAACCAACATCCCCATAAGACAACTACCCACCATATAAGAGGCTAATTACCTCACCACACCATTTCCTTCTGCGGTCGTGTAATAAGCATTCACCCATGAAAATACCTCGCACCACTTCTCCTTAATTAACACCCTCAAATAGCAAATAAATTGATGTGTGTAGACCAATGCTTCCCCTAGTGCTTTCTGTTTTTTACTTTGGCAGGGAGAATTGCTGTTCTCACAGCATGTCCTGATGTCTTTATTGTTGGATTTATAATGTGTCACTGCAATTAATTTTCCATTCACATATTCAGGACTTTTACATGATTATTATGCATAGAAATCAAAAACTTTCAAATTTTAGTTATTTTTTATGGCTTTTAATGCTAAAGAATTCTGCTTTCCAGCTGTCTCCTTTTGACAAGTTTCCACTCCTCCTTTCACCCTGCTTTCACTGCTGAACTGTATCTCTGTGTTTAGTGCTGCACATCAGCCCCCTTCTCCTCAATGGCTGCCCTTAATTAAGATCTACAGAAATATTACTCCCCATTTACCAAACTTCACACTCTTATTTACTGATGTTTTTCTTAATTAGTACTACTTTTCCATGCTGATAATAATCGCTCATTTTCCCTCCATCTACTGTATTTTACTCTCACTATCCTTATTTAGCATCTCTTTGTTCCATCATTCATTTCTCCCTGTTGCCATTTCCCTCAGCTTCTAAATCTATCACTTCTTAATCAGTATCCTCTAAACATTAACATCCAGGCATATGTTCCTCCCCATTTTGTTGTACCTTCATTTTTTCAGTTACTTGTTTATAACATTAACATCAAAAGGAATAATATTTCCTATCAGCCACCTCCTTTCCCTCTGTTTCCATCTGCCCTTTTCCTGCATTCTCCGATCTTTCCATGTCTCCCTGTAGAGACATGCCCGACACCTATCCTCCTTAATCAGCATCTCATATACAACCAAAGAAATTAATGTCTTGGGACATAATTACTCCCCCTTCACCATCTGCCTCTTCTTCCCCTTCTTCTTTTCTCTTCTAGCATCTGAACAGGTCGTAAAACTTGTTTCTTCATTTGAATCATGCGGTGTGAACTTAATATCATGACCATCATTTGTTCTTTTCTGCTACACATCCTTCTAGTCAGCTACCGCTCCCAACTATATGCCCTCCTTTGAGGAGGTGTAGCTAATTGCTTCCTAAATTTTCATTGGATTAACTCTGTGTGTGTGTGTGTGTGTGTGTGTGTGTGTGTGTGTGGCCTTGCATCTAAAATTATGTTTTCAAATATGGCATGCATGTGTTGACTTATGAAAAACATTTTTCAGATCAATGCTAATAATTCTCATTTGCTACATACCAAAAATACAAATCCCATACGATCTGCTGGAATGGAAAAACTGAGAGCTACTGTACACAAAGCCAAGAGGAAAATTTAATATAACATAACAAGCTCTCATTTATTTCAAGGCTGTAGTTGTTACATGTGCTCCATGTGCTCGGCCAAGAAATAGTCTGGCACATAACACCCATTTAACAAGAACGTGTGATTCTACACTTTAGTACATTATTACTAAAACCAAATATTCAATTTTACAGGCACTGTTACTGTAGGTAGATTTTGTTACCTTTGGAGAGAACCAGATTAATAGTTTCCTCCTGTTTTCCAATCTTTATGCTAAGCTAAATATCTTCATATTTACCATGTGGACACAAGAGCGATGTGAATCATCATATCGAGTTCTCAGTAAAAAGTCAATTTCCAAAATGTGAAACTATTGCTTTTTAAATTTCCTCAGAAGAACTGCTCCATTTAAATAAAACTTGAACAGCTGGCTCAACATATGAAACACTGAAATCAAGTAGTTAAAATATTTTTTTTTTCTGGGTGGGGTTCTCTGTGGGACTTCATAGCTTCAGTATTTATATAGTCCTGGCCATGTTCCTGCTTCAGCTGCTTGACATTCACACCAACTCCCTGTATGTTTGTTTAAATACTGTATGAGAGGTTAGGGAAACATGAACACAATTGCCACCTATGTAAATCCGCAATTTACTGTAACTCCTTAATAATACATGCAACACGCTTTTTAACGCTGTTAACTCCATTGTTGTTATTGTTAACGAGGTGTTCACTTCAGGGGTAAGCTGCGCAGCTTAGGTTTTGCAACATAGCTAACAGTTCCCATAATTACACATGGCTCCATCATTTCTGCAAAGTAATTGTGGCTTTATTGCAGCCAGGAAGAGCCTGTGCCATATTTTAAGTAGAAACATGTCCCTGCTACTGATTCTTGCAATCAAAATTACTTGCCACACGGTGGCCAAGGCCACTGTTTAAAAAGGGCTCAGTTCCTGGCAGGCAACCTAGCACCACACTGCCAAACTATCTGTTCTACAAGTCTTGACAGGCGGAGCCAAATCTGGCTAGACACGTTTAGATATTTGGCTAGATAATTTAACTATTTATGTTGCCCATTTGCTAGCCAAAGATACACACAGTAATAGTTGTAATGACTGTAATGGATTAAAAACACACACACCCAGGCACATTCACATACACAGCAGTATGTTATTGACTTTCATTGATCCTCGGTGCTTTCATTCTTGTCTTTAGGCTGTAAATCCTAGTCTGTCTTTGAGTTATATCGCAGTACTAAAGAGGTCAACCCCCAGTTCCCCATTATTATTCAGTCTCTCTTCAACATTGCCCTCAACAAAAAAGAGTCTGATGGAACACACACACACGCAGCCCCATAATTTATTGTGACTCAAGGCCAGTGCCCGGAGAAGCTTTTATTACTTGCCAATAATCATAATGTCATGTTGATGGACCAGGTCAATACCCGTGTGTCCTCTCTGCTGGTCTAGTTGACTCTCTCTCTCCTTCTCTCCTCATGTTTCTCTTTTCTACTTCTATTTGTTTCTGTCGCTTTCTCACTTTTTTAAGCACTTTCTCTTTTCCCTTTTGTCTCTTGACTTGTTGAATTTATGGTGTATACATGTTGTGTGGTTAGAAAAAAGTGAAGCCGGTCCCCCTCAAAAAAACATATTTCTACCTCTAATCAGGAACTCTTATGTTTTCCTTCCTGTGAGTCACAAATGGAATTCTCAAATTTTTAAATGGATTTGTGCCTAACATATGTTGGAGCACACACACGCACAGAGGCACACGTGCATATAAATGGACTTTCTATTTTCCATTTCTCCCTCAAAATTGATAGTTTATCATCACCGGCTGCAAGGTCATTGCCATAATAGCAAGGAAAATTGTTGCCATGGTAGTTTCTTTTTTAGCATATAGTAATTCACTTAGGAATTTGTTAAAAATAAGTGAGATTTTTTTTTACTTACATGTGTCAGTTTTGAGCAAGCTGTTTGTGCTCCTGAAGTACTGAGGGTTTTCTATTACTGGAATCTTGGTCATGCCGATGATTACCGCATCAGGGCCCATCTCTGAAGAGGAGGGAGTGTTGCTGCCATTGGAGACATGGTGAAGAGGAGAGGCCGAGTCGTCGTCATTACTTATCACTGAAGATGGTCCTAAGATGACAGGAAGAATCAAGATAAGCGGTGCTGACTTTACGTTGTTTATCTTATCTCGGCAGTTATGGAGAAAGCTCTCACATGGTGGAAAAACATTTCAGTCCACATGCCGGCCATGTTAATAGTATAAGGACCCAAGGGAATTAATTAGGTTGTTAAGCTGTTATTAGCAGAGATTGAGGAGATGAGCTCGTAAAGTGGGGAGGCTAAGCTGTTGTTATAGATCACAATAAACCTTTAGGAGAAAGAGAGACAGGAAAGACAACATTTTTTTTCTACATTTGTACCCTTAGTTCTCTTGACCACTGTCAGATCCCCCCTCACAAGTTAGAAAGGAGAACTCTCAACACAAATTTGTTGCTACATAATCATCTTACTGAAGTGCTCCAGTACTATTCTTCTTTGTTTAAAGCTTCTCTTGTGAAGTAGAACATAGCTTACTTGAAGTTTTAATCACATAATCTAGAACATGGACACTTAATTAAAAATAGCAACACCATACAATAAAAATGTTTCCACTACAAATAAAGGTCCTGCCTTCTAAACCATAAAGGCTGCAGACTGCAAGACAAGGGCAGAATACGATGTGTCCAGTTACACCCCTAAACCCTTCCCCTGCTAACTTCACCTACTACAACATATTGACATATGGAAAATAAGTGACTAAGCCCATATGTGTCATATGAGAGCGCCAGGTAATGTGCAGCACTGTGGTTATTTCATGTTTGAATACTGGGTTATTCTTTAGATTAGGTATTTAATAACAAAGTTAATAAGAGAATATGGTGAAAGTGTAGTTTTACAACCTGGAGCGTAACAACGTGACTTAAAAGCTTTAAAAGGCTTTAAAAAGACAAATGCCAGTAATCAAAATCCAAAAGTATGAGCTCTAGATTTGGTCTTCTCAGTTGTTATACTGCTATTATCCAGTGAAACGTCACCAGTGAATAAGCTTTCCACTCTCAAAACTCAGATTTCTCTCACTCTGTCAGCCCAAGTTAAATAACACTGGATACTGAAGTTCACATTTATAGAACAGACGTTTTGAACCCCAAAATGTGGAAACAACGTGAAGCAAGACACTGAAAACAGAAGAGAGGTGGGATGGTGTGAGTCAGTCAACCCTTTTACACAAAAGGGTTTGTTTTGGCAACAGTAGGAAGGTGTTATTAGTTTTTAATTAAGACAGTGAAATCAGTCCATTAAAGCTGGTTCCATATTCACCTGAGTCACTTCCAGCAAATCTTTATGACATTGTTGCTAAGTTTCATTAGGTTGAGTGCCAAAGCAAACAATATAACCCCCCCTCCACACACACACACACACACACACACACAGACTGTATTGGGGTTGAGATTAGTTCGCCCCACCTCCTGTATAAGTGGACAAGGTGTAATGGGGGGTGAGGTCTGTGTGAGGGAGAGTGAATGAGGTCAGAGAGCAAAGTGAGTGAGAACAACGTGAACCAGAGAATTAAAATATTATTTTGTGTTTGTTTCACTGTGGTTATGTTCTAAAGCACAAATAAACACAGCAACACCTCTGCACAACCCAGTGCTAAGGATTTTGTGCGAATGCAGCCAAAACTCACGCCTCTGTCTGTTCTGAGGTGAGGTATACCTTGTGTGTGTAGCCCTACTCTCAGACACACAGACCTGAAAGTGGGTGCATGTATAAGTAGTCTAATGTCATTCCCGATCTCCATTTCTAAATATATCAAACAAAATCAGATAACAGCTGGTTTGTTTTGCTTCCATATTGGCCACAAAGTACATGAGGAATGTATGTGGGTGCGTGTATGTCCTCTCAAAGCAAACAAACTAACAAAGTCACAAAAATAAAAAGAAATAAAAAAACTGTCAAACTGGTGACATTTCATTGCCCCATAGGACCAGAGTTTAAATAGATGCAGGGTTATGACTCAGACAGATTTTTCATTTCCTTTATTTCTTTATCTACTGTATTATCAACCACACACATCTGTATTTTTTAGATCTGCTACTAAATGATAAAATTGTAGGAAAAAGCATTTTCAGTGCTAGCACACAAAATGATTTAATGCTATGCTATACAGTACAGCTCTCTTAAAGAGCATAATAGGATGCATCCATCTAGTCTTGGTCTTTTGTTGGTCTTTCATCAGCTCTTCACTGTGTGTCAGCTGAAGAAAAAGTAACACCATACACAAGTTAGAGAATGGATCTCATCATAGACAAGCAAGTTTATCCAGAACTACACTGACCCGCACCCACACACGGGAAGTGAGCATGAACCACAGTCTTTCTGTAGACCTCCTCAAGACACGAGCCTAAGCCAGGAAACATTGTATTATGAGTTAAGGTTGATTTCCCATGAGCATAAAACACAGCAGATGTATTCCCTCTCATGTGGTTGGTTCTGCTGAATTATAAGACTGGTCAACATCGTTCATTTCCTCTGTCCCTGGCCTCGTATCAGGCTCTAGTGCTGCTGACAGAGCTTGACTGAGAGCAACTCAGAGAAACTGAGAGTTTGTATGTGTTTGTGTCTAGGTGTGTGTGTGTGTGTGTGTGTGTGTGTGTGTGTGTGCGTGTGAGAGAGAGAAAGCTTCTAAACCAACTGTGTGTTGGTGACTCATGATTGAAAAGCCCTTGAGAGAGAAAAAGAATAGGAGCAAGAGCGCAATTGTTTGTTTTTGTGTGCTGAGATTTATGGTTATATGCAGTATGTGGTGTATTGTAAATGTGTGTGTGTGTGTGTGTGTGTGCATGTGTGCTGGCTGTGATTGGCTGCGACTTTTTTGTGTCTAGGGTCACACTTGAATGTGTGGCTTTTAATAACTTGCCCCTAAACAGTCATGAAAGGCGCAGCAAAAAATAAATATCATACAGGTTTTGGGGTGAATGATTTGCTTTGGACCAAATGCAGTTTTCACTACCTTACAAAAAACGTATCAACCTATCTCCAAAATTTCAACTTGCCATGTTTTCAAAAATACAGCCAAATGATACATGTTTGTAATTTAATGTTATTTTAATATTTTTAGACTGTTAGTTTGTTGCTGTTCATAATGAAATAGAACAAAATGTCAGACACATATTGTATTTGCTTAGTTTAGTGTATTTGTGTATGAAAATGCTTTTAGGAAAAAATAAAAATAAATAAATAGGCAGCTACATTTCGAGATATTCCACTTATTCTGCAAGACTCAAATGGAGACAAAATGATTATGAACCCATGAAGGCAAAGTTTATGTTTTTAATTTGAAACAACCCAAAGTTGCTTTATAGTTAGAGACATTGATTTGTTGTATGAATTTTCATCATTGCTCCCATTCTCCCATAAAATCCTTGACTAAACTTTGTCGGTTGAATTTTAGCCTTGGTTTTGCTGAAAGCTCCAGGGACACCGCAGAAAATTGAACTATGTAGAAAGTTTCTCCTAATCTTTTAGTAAATACCATTTATCTTATTAAATAAACACATTTAATTTTCTCTGAAATTGAGGTTGAAACGGTAACAAACGTATTTAGTGTGCAGCAGCGTCTTTGTCACAACAGTCCTAAACAATCAGCAGTTTCATAAATGAAATGTTTCCCTTTCAAGTTATTACCTTCAGTGTTTATTACTCTGACTTTATTTCAACATGGGGGTTCCCTGATAGACTAGTGGTTAGCGACCCTGCCGCTGCGGCCTGGGTTTGAGTCAGGGTTGCATAAGGAAGGGCATCTGGTGTGAAACATGTGCCAAATGTCAACATGCAAATCGTCAGTGTGGCGATTCACTGTGGCGACCCCTAACAGGAAAAGCCGATAGTGACATTGATTATTGTGATAGAAATTACTTGTTGAATAAATCAAACTGTTTTGCTGTTTCTAAAGTGTGACTCCCCCTTTAAGCAGCTAAACTGATGGGTCAGGATGCCTGCGTTGAACAGAGAGTGTGAACAGACAAGAAACAGCAACCAGAGATAACAAAGGTGGGGCGTACCTCTGTGTTTGTAGAGAAGGGACAAAGGGCATTAGTCGCTTAATTGTTTTTATCAATATAAATGACTTGACTGGAGGAAGGATGAGCACTCTGTTTGAATGATGTGCGTCACTACTTCAGCTTTTAATAAACTGTCTTCAATACCTCAAAGAAATCTAAATCTAATCACAGTCTAAATCCACTGTGATTTTAGTTTGATAATAAAAATTGCTACGACATTAACAAAAAAAACAATGAGACATATGAGGGTGGGGGTTATTGTCTGTTAGTATGTGTGTGTGCTTGTGTGGGGAGGGGCTGAAGATCATTAACACAGACAGGTCACAGGGTCAGATCGTTATAAATACTGTTAAGCTGAGGGGCAACGGGAGCCTGGCTCTGTGCGCGCGCGCGCGTGTGTGTGTGTGAGACATGGAGAGAAAGGGAGGCCCACAGGGAGTGACTTGGTAAAAGGGGGATGAAAAGATGTAGAGGTGAGAGGTGGAGGGAGGAAGCGAGAGATGGACAGGAGAGGTGAAGGTCTAAGTGAGGTCAGGTCAAGACCCAACACTGTTAATAGACATGCAACTGATGTTTCAAACTCGGGCTAACAGTCGATAAATGACATCGCCTTGGCTTCAAAGCTCAGGTCAGTGAGGACTAAAACCCTCAAGTACTGTTATTGTCAAGTTGGGTAAAGGCACTGTGTTGCGTCTGTACAGGTTTTTGAGATGCCAGTGTTGTGAACTGAATGTCATTCATTCAGAAAGAAGCATTATGGTTTGTGGGTTTAGCTAAAGAGGATCATTTAAAGGACAAGCTCAGTTGATGAACATACAATTGAATCAACACCAGCTGAAAATGATGTGAACACAAACTGAACTTTGTCACTTTTGTAAAGAAGGATTATTGGATTAAACTGCATTCATTCTTACAATTGAGCGTATCTTGTGCCATATCACAGAGTAATAAAGCTACACTATGTGACAGCTGAAGGTTCTGCGCTCCGCCTCCAGTTTTCCTTATTATATAATATCTGTATTTAGATTC